CAATTCTGACCCATAGTGACCATGGAAAGGATTGCCCCATAGGGTTTCTGAGGCTGTAAATCATTATGGAAGAAGAAAGCCCCATCTTTCACTAGTTGAGTGGCTGTGTGGGTTTGAACTGCTAGCCTTTTAGTTAGCAGACCAACAATTAACTGTACCACTAAGGATCCTATTATGTATAAATTCCCGTATCACATCCCCAGGCATCCAAGTTCAAGCACCTTGAAGATACTTCCTCAAACCACAGGCCAGCCTCTTAGTCCAGTCTCAAATATGACCAGCATGACTGCTTCTGGGCAGAGGAAGAGCAATGATAGCATTTTACCCACTGCTGTAGAGTTGATTATTACGCAAAGGACAATAAGACTTGAAGCACTTACTGAGGAAACTCAACGACTATAATTTTCAGCATGGATTACATTTAACCATCAGGAAAACAAAAGTGCTCACAATTGAACCAATAAATAACATCATGAAAAATAAAGATTGAAATAATTTCATTTTACTTGGGCTCATGGAAACAGCCAAAAGTCAATAAATCAAGCTTCATATTTTAAAGGTCAAATTTACTACCAAGAACATCGTGAAAAATGCAAAAAAGCAAGGATAAAATTTTTAAAATGAAGGCGCGCCCAACTCAAATTACGGTGTTTTCCCATTGCTTTATACATATGTGAAAGTTTGACACTGAATAAGAAGACAGAAGTAGAATTCCTGCCTCTGAATTAACTGTTGTGTTGTCATAGACTATTGATTTCACCATGGAATGTCAGAAGAATAAACAAATCCTAGAGGAAATGCAGCTAGAATTCTCCTCAGTAGGAAGGATGATGAACTCTCTCTCAGGTACTTTGGATATATTATTAGGAGGGCCAGCTCATCCAGAATTCCCTTCATGAGATGTACTGACACGTGGCTGCAACCAGGCTCCCGGAGGATGGTGCAGAGGCTCTGGGCCCATGCAGGGTTGGTCCTTTTGTACATGGGGTTGCTATGAGTTTAAGCCAACTTGAGGGCAGCTAATGACAGCAGCATAGGACAAGGAAGAAGTGTCCTTTGGGTTTCCAAGCCTGTAAACATGAATCAGACCACTACATCTTTCTCCTGTGGAATAGCTAATAGTTTCAAATCCCCAAGCTTTGACAGCTCATGGCTCATTGCAAATGGAGTAGGGGAGAAGAAAGTAATCCAGGAATTCATAAACTCTGATTACAAACTCCCTGGTCTTGATAAAAGAGAGCTGAAGGTCATTCCAGTAGAATTAGCTATGGTAAAAGGAGAAACGAATTCGGAAACTCACAACATAGGTCTGAAAAGGAAGCTGGATCTCCAATCATCTTTTTCCCCTCGCGTAGCATCTAGGCTACAGCTTCCAATTTTAGTTGCTTTATCTCGTTTCACCAAAATTGGTTGAATCCAATGGAATGACGTTCTGAAAGGACCTTATTTTCTGATCTGGACTAATGGACCCTGGTTTCTGGGCCTTAAAACATCCTGGGTCTCCCCCACTTTCTCCCTGAGCTCAGGACCACTGCAAACCCTGGGGACATGATAGAAGGGGGCCAGGCAGGGAAGCATCAACTCACATATTAAACAAACCTTAGGCCCAAATCCACTTCTGAGTGGCCACAGAGCACGAGCCTTGGTTGAGTTCCGTAGGGAGGCAGTGTCCCCTGCCCTTGTCCCTGCCCCAGGCTGTAGGACGAGCAGCGCTCAGGCCCCTGCACGCCCTTGTATCCTCCAGGAAGAGAAGAGTGCCACAGACCCAGGGGCGCACGGAGCGCGTAGGGGCACCAGCCAGGGCGAGGGGGCCTTTGCGCTTCCACTGGCCTGCTCTGTGTTCGAGTCACCGGTGGGGTCGGGCCTTCATCTGCCATTTTCCTATTTGAGCAAATGGACTCTCTATTCAACGGGCTTACAAATGAGCGCTTTGGTTATTAAACCAGAAATCACTCTTCCCAGACCTAAGACCAAAAACATCAGAGAGAGGACGCGCCCTCAACCCGCTCAAGGGTACCGCCTTCCTGGGCTATAACCAACTGACGTCATTAACACCTCAAAATAAGCAAAAACCAGCTGGCCCGTCTATTCAGACAACACAGCATCCAAACCCGACCCAGCTCCTTCCAGGGGTCTTGGCTCTGGGACCCTCGTTTCTGAGGTGGTCTCTTCCGGGCGGAGACGGCCCATCTTCCTCATGAGGAGGACTGGTGAGTTCACACCACCCACCGTTTGGTCAGCAGTTCAGCATATGACCTACTCACCAGGGCTACAAGCATCACCTTTGGCCATTAAGGGGGGGGGACCCAAGCTCATAAAAGCCAAACCAACCCGTTGCCATGGATTCCTGCTCATAACTCCCTGTGAGCTTCGCTCCGACCGGGGCTGCGAGATCATGCGGAAGCAGGTCACCAGGTCTTTTCTTCAGGAAGGCCTCTTGGCTGATCCGAACCCTGCCAGAGCCCAGGGTGTAATTGTTTGAACTTCTCAGCAACTCTAGGAGAGGAAAAGCGCCGGGAGAGAAAAAGCATGAAGCTCAGAGGCTCCCACTCCCGGCACGTGATGCCCATATGGTAAAGACGGCAGCTCTAACCTGTGGCCAAGGTTGAAAACCACAGCTGGAGATCTTATAATTAAAAGGGGCGGCCAGGAGGAGAACCTTAACAATGTTAGAGACCCACTTTCTGCAAGGGAAAAAAAATAATTTTGACAAAGAAATAATTGAAAGAAAATGTCTTTTATTTTCTAATAAATGTGCCAGGAGCCAACGGAGCACAGGCTTTCTGCCTGTGAACTCCATGGGACCTACTGTGTTTTTAATGGTTCCCCACCTGCTGCTCTGCGGGCCCAGTGGAGCCTTTCCTGATTCAGCAGGAACGCGCCCTCCCCGGGCGGCAGGCTCCTGTTCTGCTTGTGTTCTTTGCACTTTACACAGACATCCATGAAGCCACTGTGCTTGCCCTGCCCCAGGGTCAGGCCTTCCGAATCACCACAGCCCTGACAGCAGCTGCCGACTTCACCTCCTCGCTCCACTCAGGCCATTCCTGACTCATAGCTATGACTTCCAGCGATTTTCAGAGGCAGTTAACTCGCACGGGAGGGGACTGCTCAGCTTAACCTCGGCGCAGCTGGTGGACTCAAATCACGTACATTTGCGTTGCCAGCAAACTCCTCAGCACTAGGCTACCTACTGTCCCTGGGGCCTCAAAAATGAGTAGAATCTTTGGAATTTTCAAGAACTGAGCTGAGCTATACTGTTCCAGAAATAAGCGGATTTAGTAATGGACTAAATATGAAACAGGTACAAAAATCAAGAGGGGAAAGACGTTTGTTCATTCCACAGAGCGAGTGTTCTGCACGCTCTCAAGCTGGGCTCCCCCCCCCCCCCGGAACTGGGGTCTCTCTTGCCCTAGATGCTCCCAAAAGTGAGTTTTCTCACATGCACCTGACTTCTCACTGTCTCCCTGCATGAAGACCCTTCAGGGACTGACACCTAATTTCTGAGGAAATGCCTCTCAGACAGGGTCAGGATCCTCATTCAGCTTGGGTGAGCCTCAGCGCTTCATCTCTGTGACAGCATTTGACGTGCATGTTCAATAGCCGTCCAGTTTGTTTCTTCCACAAGATACTAAATGCCGTACTATTAGAGGACTTCCTTGTTTTGCCTCTGGACAGGGCTGTCTGCTATCTATAAGCACTGAAAGCAGTTTAAAGGAAGGAGAGTAGCCAGGAGCCTTTCACCTCAGGGAAAAGCCAGTGAGTTAACCTGGGCTAAACGGGCACCAGGCTTCCAAATGAGTGGAATGCTTCTCTCTCCAGTTTACAGTTTTGTATATGCTCACACTTTTGAGAAGATGGTCCTCACATGAGAATTATGGCCTCAAAAGAGTTAATAACCATTAGGGCACTGGGGGAACTGCTTAAACAATTTTTTTAAGTTAAAAAATTACTTATATGCTCTCCATTAAGGTACCTCCTTACCGCACACTTTAATTTTTTAAGTGAGTGTCTTTTTAAGTCAATAATCCCTACCCTAGATTTGAAAACTACATTGTTTTCTCAACTAGGAAGCCATATGTAAACTTTCTCAACATTAAAAACTATTCTTATCTACACCACCATTCAAATAAAACCTGATAAATGCAAGAAAAAAAAGAAGAAAACGATATTGTATAAATGTTCTTGTGAATTTCTTTTTTAACCTACAATAAATTCCTGACAAAGAAACTGGATCATTGGTGACTGAGAAAAATAGCCTAGAAATATTTACAATACAAACAGAAGATGCTGTGGTATTTAATCTCATTCAATGAATCACTTCCAGTTCATTTCCCACCTCGTAGATAACGCAGGAGAAAGGCAACATGAAACGTAAATTACAGGAGAGAAGTGTGGGCCCACGGGGTCCCGCAGGTGCACACATGACAATTCAGTGTGATTTACATAGAACACGAAGGAAAAGTGAAACCACTGTCATTTATTGCTCTATCTATGCTTTCCCCAGAGGGCTAGAGTAGTGTAAGTAGCCACAAAGTGCCACCTTGTGGTTTAAAACTGTGCAACATCTTCTTTATTTCTTTTTAAATGCCATTTTATGGTGGACTTGTAAAGCAACAGCAGCAGTTACAAAATGTTGTCTGAGTAATCTTGAGAACTGGAACGAGGTTTTGTGTATAGGCGGAATAAAAAGATGTTTCATTAATAGTGCACACTGTGTAACTTTAACAAACATCTTTAGTTGGAATTTTCTTGTAAATCTCAACAGAGATGAGACTCACAGACCCCAAAAGTAAAATAGATTTTCCTTTCATGGTTTAGTGAGGTGGTTTGCAGTTCTGCAAACGATTTACAAAGTACAAGACATGTTGCGTGTGAGAACTAGGCATAAAAGGTTTCATTTTCTTACAGAAGGAGCAGTGGAGATATGGGGAACCCTGAGGACACCCTGTCCCCACCTTTCCCAAAGACATACACCCACAAGAATGGCAGTGGAAGCCTGGCAGCAAGCCACCCTTAACAATTCTTTTTGGTTGTTTTCAAATACAAGCACTTTGGGACAATTCCCTCCCCAACCTCTAAGCCCACCCCTGCTTGGCAGGACACAGGCCCATGTCCTCTGGATGGGTTCTCCCCTCAGGATTATTTACAGGTTGCCTACAGATACAGTACAAACTAGTATGAAATAAATGATAGTTTGCATTTCCAGACACGCTCCTGTGGTTAAATAAACACACCACGCTGATTCTGAAGAATGGCTCCAAGTTAAGATGACTCAGGAGCACTTGCATCTGCAGACACAGGACTCTCAGTGGCAGGGGGGGCTTCGATGGCTCTGTCCTCAGCAGCGGTCGGGGCCTTGGAAGTCGGGGGCGTCGCATCCACAGTGAGTGAGGAGGCAGCATCTGCCTTTGCAGTAGTTGTAACAGGGTCAGAAGGTGGCATGCCAGGAAGTGGAAAGGAAGACAGCAGCTCCCCTGCGCCAGGGGCAGGAGAGATCTCTGGAACCCAAGGGAATGGCGGGAGGAACTCGGATGGCATAGGGAGAGGTGCCATGCCAGGTAGGGTTCGGGGAGGCAAGGAGGGAAGAGGTGGCAAACCTAGGACAAAAATGGTACATATCATACTTCCTCCTCAAACTAAAACAGTAGCAGTGACAGACAAACAAGGCACAACTTCAGTTATGATCTGCTGGGATACCAGCGGTCCAGGAGGAAAGGTTCCCCTGGCTCCTGGGATCCCAGAACTCAGCCTGGCACCGAGAGAAACCCGGCTCAGGGGACACACTGGCAATGAAGTTCCACAGAATGGAGGCAGAACTCATGCTCGCCACAGGCAAGCAGCGCGCTCATAGCTGCTGACCTGGTGGATGACGAGAGGAGCTGGAGTGCCCAACCATTCTGTGGCATTGGTGAAGGAGGGGGTCTGCACTTAGCATCTCCCATCAGCTTCACCCTATACATGCAGCCTCTACGCCCTGTGACAGAGAACAAGCGATAGTGGACTTGATGGGTCTACTGATGATTTTTGCAATGCAAAATGAAGGAAAGGAGTATTATTTTTTTAAGAAACAAAGGGAAGGCAGGTTATAAAACTAATTCAGGGCAACCACTGAGCTGTGGAAAACCTTAATGCTCTCAGAGTCCATCAATCTAGGCAGAGGAGAAGCTAGGAATATGGGGTTCAATACAAAAGACTGAACAATAAATGTCCATTTATGTTCACTAGTATTAACTCTGGTATTTCCAAACTTAGAGCTGAAGAACTCAGTTATAAAGACAGATAACAAGTGTTACAACAGAGACAATTTTGATCTAGACAAAAACGTGATAATTTACATCACGGTGTACAAAGGTTGCCACTTGGTACACCAACGTCCAAACTACTGAGATGTGCAAATCAAAATAATCTTTGTAAGTGACCACTTGACTATCAAGAGAATACTACAGGGTACTCTGATTTTTATCCCCCATCTGTGTTAACATTCTGAGTATCTGATACTTGTGGCTAAAACAACTCAGAGTATTTATTATAATATTTATTGAGAATATTTCTCAAGTAAAAAGCCCAGCTGGCTGGTCAACGGCGAGAATTTCAGTTATCTGCACTCGATGTTTCTGGGTCTGGGCTACAAACCACTGACACTATGCAGCCCTGGTGGCAGCCTCCTATAAACACAATCATGGGAAATTCATTCACCTCCCCTGTACATCCTTCATGCTTATAGCTTTAAAAAGCTCTTGGGTGGGTTTGTACTCATGCCTTCATCTTTCTAGCTGTCTCCCTAAGATACACAAAGATTTTCCTGTCAAAGATTTTTAAAGGAAAGTAGATTTATTTGAAGTAGCTGAAATGTGTTACATTAATTCTTTCTCTCTGAGAAAACTGAGATGGAGGCTCATAGGGAGTCCCTAGGACTGAAGAATCTACAACATACCCGGGGTTCCGATTTCTGGTAAGCCAACACCTGGCATGATGTGTGAGGCCCCGGGGAGATTGAGGTTGAGGTTGGGGAGGGCAGGCAGGTTAGGCAGTCCTCCTGGTAAAGGCACCAGACCTGAAGAGAGGATACAAAAGGACAAGAGATCAATCACTCCACCTGGAGAACAACGGAAATCCATGTGTACTGAAAAATACTGCCCACTTCAGAGAGAATATCGGAAACCTACTAATGTGCAGCAAATCTTGTATTATAAAAACATTATTTGCTGCTGGGTGTCACTAAGTCAACCTGGATTCATGGGGACCCCTTGAGCAAAATTCTTCAAAGGGTCTTCTAGACAGCAATCTTTTTAGAGAGCAGACTGCCACTTCTTATTCCCAAGGAGCTAATGGGAGAGTTCAAACCAACAACTTAAGCCAACAAACTTCTTACAGTAACTTTAGTAACAAAATCTAACTTAACCGAAATGTAGTTCTACAGTAAGTGATCACATGGCTGAAGGAGTAAAGGTTAAGACAATTAACTTACACAGTTAAGACAATGGAACAAGAAAGGTGATAGCCTGAGTGCCCTGGAAGAACAGCTCATTTAGCCCAGCAAGTATGGTAGAGTCAGAGTTCTTCACTGGTTGCTGAGGTTTAAGTCTCTGGATGTCTTTTCAAAAAAATTACTCTGAACTTCAGACTTACAGTTATTAAGCAGTACAAAGACTCTCCATATGTAACTTTTATCCCAATTACCCGCATTTTTTTTACCGCACTTGCACATATTTGTTTAATGGTTCACTGTGACTCCACAATAACATGTTTAGCCATATGATCACAAGCAAAAGTGTGGCATCATTGAAAAACATGATTGCTTTCTGCCGGTTTAAGGTACTTGTTATCCATAGAAATAGAGAGTCAGTTTAACACAATAACTACTGAAGACTGAAATAGAGTGCTCTCTTCAGGATGCAATGTCTATTCACACAAACAACTATGAGAACAAACACACACCTAACCAGGACACTGAAGAATACATTTTTCCACACTGCTGCTTCTGCATGTGTGCAAGCCCAGTGGTGGTGGTATAAGGAATCTTGGGCTCCACACCTGACGTGCTGGCTAACATCCATCTCTTTGTTTAGGAGAAGTACCAATTGTTCTCACTTATCACATAGTGTAAAATGTGATTAAAAAAACATAACTTTCACTATGTGTAAGATGAATTTTTTTTTTAATTATTATTTTTGTGTGAGTGTACCATCAAATCAGATCTGACTAATACAGGAGGAGACTGTCCCTCCTTCCCCGGCAGAGCATCTGGTGGATTCGAACCGTGCGCCTCTGGGATTGTAGTTGCAGCTCCTTACCACTAGGCCACCAGAGCTCCCCAAGATGAATTTTTAAAAAAAATAAATAAATGCAAAGTATATGATTAATGTTATCACTACACTGCTTACCTGGTAATGTAGTAGCTGGGTTTATCGGTGGCACAGAAGTCAGGGACTGGTTTATTTGTGGTGGTAACAATGGTACTGTTGGAACTCCTGAAATAAAAGCAGATTTTTAGGAAATTAGTTGACAAAAAATAGATGCTATTAAAACAATCTTCAGCGTCCCCTCCGATGGTCAGGTTTTCTGTCAGTGACCACATGCACATAACTTGCTAGTCTGTCTATTTCCTTTGCTTATAGCCCTTGCCAAAAACTGTGAGAAGGCCTATCCCCAACGAAGCTTACTGGACAAGAAATTTTCCTGCCCTAAACAATAAGCAGCATCAGACTAGAAAACTGGTCATCTGGAAATGGGCTATAGCAGTGCACCAGTCCTTACTGGGTTCTAGACCTGAGAAGCCTGCAGATTTAGTCTACTTCTCTATTAAATCTTTCAGAGTTTCTTTTTTGTCCTTAAAGGGTAAAAATATTCAGTCTCAAAAGTAAGGAGCAGATCTAAGCTGAAAAGTCTAAATCTGAGATCTAAATATGGGCTTTCTATGGTGTGTGATGCTCCTAAAATTGTAGGTAACACTGTTTTTTGCTTCATAAAATTGAGAGTATATGGGTTTTTGTTTCTTAAAATTCTCAAAGGGGTGAGATGGGTGTCTAATTTTGCAGGAACACTTAGGCATTGTTCAAGGTATTGAAACTTTGCCTTGTGAAGAAAACAGAAATTCCTATATTCATTAAATTTCTTCAATGAGGCATAGAAGAGAGAGATAAATAAGCAGAAAAATAAAAATGCAGTATGTGGATGATAATAAATTTTCTTCAGAAAAATTAAGTAAGGAAATAAGGTGAACAGTATGAGGGAGTGGACCAAAAAGTCACACTAATCAATGCCACCAAAAAAATTACAGATTTCTCTTCCTAAAATTTTATAATCTGAAATATTTCAAATCCACAAAAAAGAGGTTTTGTTGTAAAAAACCCCCACATTCGTATATATCTAAAATTATTTTTTGGGCCTGTGTGTAAGAAATATAACGTAATCAATAAATGCCTAACAAAAAGTTGTCTTCCACATATCATGATGTTAGAAACATTTTAGTCTTTTTAAAACTGATTTACCCTCTTTTGAACACTACTTTATTTACACTTGTATTTTTAACATTCTAAAAGTCATTTTTCTGCTGTATAATAAAGCCAGGAATCTCAGTGAAGGTAGGTGCATATAGGATAATACAAGTAGAACTATAATATAATAAGGGTAGATTTAAAGTACGTAAAAAATAAAATGGAATTTGAAGAGAGATCTCCAAATTCAGAAGAACTATCATATGGTATTGGGATGTCCTAATTCTGAAACCAACGTTAAAAACTGTTCCAACATACCATGGACTGCTGTCTTGAGAAGTACTATAGCCCACCCTTTATTAGGTCTATTCTTCAGAAATAAACCAGAGAATTGCCCAATAGGAGGGTTTAACAATAATACAAAATTGTAAAGAAACACTCAAAGACTGAATAAATGTTAAGGTTTTCATAACAGTGTTTATGGCTAAATATGAATTTTCATCTAGGAAATGTTCTATAACTCAATTAAGATTATAACTATACAACTCTGTACATTTACTAAAATCATTAAATTATAGGTTTAAAATAACATTACAGTAAATAAATTATATCTCAATACAACTCAAAAGGGATCCAGCAAGTGGTGGTGGAAGTATGCTGTCACATGGTTACCTGATGAAATTCAACAACAGTCACATGGCTCACTACACTTTTCCTTCTACTTTAATAAGCTTGAAATTTAGAATAATAGAAAGTTAAGTATCTTCATTCCCAGTATGTGGAACGTTAAAACTATGATCATGAAAAGTGTGGAGACCTGAACCTAGGAGATCAACTCCAGAGGCCTTATTTTATCTTGGTGTGCTATTTTAAATCCACTCCAGAACAAAGTAAGGGAGAAGGTCATCGGAATCCCACTGCCAATGAGGTGATTCCAGACCCTACAGAACAGAGAACTCCTCCCCACACACAGGGTCTCTGAGGCTCATTTTTAAGAAACCAGACTGCTATATCTTCTGTGTGCTGACTGGCAGGTTCAAACTGCCAACCTTTACGTTAGCAGTAAAGCATTTAGCCATTGTGTTACCAGGGCTCACAAATTCTGGATATAAATATTAAAACATATTTTTACTTCAAAATTTATACATGAATCTTCACAGCAGCATTACTCACAAGAGAAAAAAAAAGGAGAGGGGAAATGACTTAAATCCCTGCTGACTGGATAAAGATGTGGTATAAACTGTACCATAGATGAACCTCGAAAACATTATGTTAAATGAAGTCAGTCACAAAGACTACATATTATGGTTCCATTTGTAGGAAATGTCCAGAGTAGGCAAATCCAGACACAGGGAGTAGATTAGCTGCTGTCTTTCAGCACTGGGGGGAGTGGGCAATGATTCCTAATGGGTACAGGGACTTTTTTTAAGTAGCAAAAATGTTCTAAAATGGACTTTGATAATTGCTGATAGGTAAATTACATATTACTATTTGAAAACTTTGAAAAGACTATCATATAGAGGGAGGTTTGGTGGTGCAGTCTGTGGGGAGTTGGCCTAACCAAAAGGCCACCCCTTTCTGCCAATTCTAATCTACCAGGGCTCCTCAGGAGAGGTAGGCAATCTCCTGTGTGATTTACAGCCTCAGAAACTGAAGAGGGTCAGCTATGAGTTGGTTCTGACTGGACTACAATGAGTGAAAGAAAGAAGGTAGAAAAAAGATAAAAGGGGAAAGAGGGGAAGAGTCTTACTCCAGAGAATAAGACTGACTCTCTAGAAAGGAACAGTATCATAGCTGTATCCCTTGTGTACAGAGCAATTACTCAGAACTAAATGGTGATTTCTGACTCTAAAAGTTATAACATCTAAGAGCATATAGGATCTAAAATAGATAAAATGGAGCATAGATGTACAATGTATGAGCATGGGATATTAGCTTACAGACTGGGCCTGTGTATCCATGTAGAGAACATTTAGAGTTTTCAAGGTATTCTGGCATGACTTTGTGAAATTTAACAGCTGAAACAGAAGAGTGTCATGAAAAACAAAGTTAAGCTGCAAACAGATCATGTACTTCTGCATACCTGTACTGAGAACATTACTGACAGCTGGTGGAGTTGAGTTAATAGAAAGTCCAGACAAACTCTGTTCAATTCCTGTAGTTCCTGGTGTTGACAAAGATGGAGGATTAACTGAGGACAGCTGGACCTTCCAAAACACAGAAAACAAATTACTTAAGCTAATTATAAATATTAGCTTTTATCTGTCTTATAGATACATATATTTTTTATCATATGCTGCTTATAATGCACTTCCTTCCTCGTTATGATACATGCTGGAAACCCCACAGCACAAACATCTATTTTATTACTTCTAGCATGCATTGTTATGTGCCACTGCATCAACTGTCACTCAAAGTGACCCTACAAATAGTGGACTTGAACCCTGACCTGTTCTGTGCCTTCCTCACTATCTCTGACATACCTGAGTCCACTGTTAAAGTCACTGTATCAATTCATCTTGTTGAGGGTCTTCCTCTCTCACACTGACACTCCACTTTTCTAACATGACGTCCTTTGTGCATAATCCTATCTCCCGTTACACAGTGTTCTAACCACTTCCATTCTAGGAGATTCTATGCTCTCCCTTCTTCTTAGTCCCTAAAAGCCACTTAATTCAACACTTAAAATACCCTTCTTCTCCGAATTCTTTTTAAAGTTCCCTTTACTGCATGTAGAAAAAAACTGCCCGCAACTCTTGATATAATGGTAGATTTAGAAGTGTCTCAAGATTTCTAAGATCACGAGTCCATTTCACCTCTTCTCAACAATGAATGAATCTGTCTTTTGGGGGGAGGGAAGGAGGTAGGATTTCTTTTTTCTTTCACTACGTGCATAAGAATTAACTATCCCTGGGTATCTCTGATAAAGAATATTTTAGAAATCTCTATTGTTGTTGTCAGGCCTGCTCCACAGGGAAGACATCATTTGTAACTCTTTTGGAAGAAGACCACCAGGCATAATTATCAAGGCATCTCTGGGAGGGCTCCTGTTGCTTTTAAGTAGTAGCTAACCATATAACCAAACCATTCTTATGCCTTGAAAAAGGATCCTTGGTGATACAATGGTTAAAGCACTTGACTGCTAACTGAACAGTGATAACTGGAACCCACTAGCACTCTCAGAGAAAAAGAGCTGGTAATCTGTGCTTGTAAACAGTATGGTTCTACTCTACCCTGGGGGGTGGTTATAACTCAGGACAGATTTATCAGAACACAATAATATTTCTTAAAATGCTTCATTTTGTTTCTGTATTGATTAAGCCTTCAACTCCTGCTGCCCACTTAGCTATCTTTATCTTTTAAAAAAAACTTTATATTGAGATACGGTAAGGGGAGCTCTGGTGGCCTAGTGGCAAGATGCTGCGCTGCAATCCCAAAGGCATATGGTTCAAGGCCACCAACCTCTGAAAACCCACTAGAGGGTCAGATATGGGTCGGTTCCAACTCTATGGTACACAAGAACAACAACACTGTGATATGGTAAGTTTACAGAGCCAAATGGTTTTCCACTGAACAATTCGCTAACATTCTGAATAACGTTAACCGTAATCCTCTCAACAACACAGCTCCTTCTCATTTCTTCCCTAGCAGATTAACAGGTTTCTCTGTTGACGCACCTCTGGTTGGGTCTGAACTACCAATTTTTTGGCTAGTCACTGAGCATGTAACCTTCTGCATCACCTAGTGCCTCCCAAGCACTACTATCACCACCACCTGATCACACCCCATATTCTCTCTGTACTCCTGTAACCTGACATTTGCACAGTGTCACGTCTCTGAAACTGCCTCTGGTACAGGAAATGGTATTTCCATAGCTTATCTTTCAGTGGTAGCTGAAAACACTAACTATGCCTTTTTTCTTAAAGCTTTGTTCTCTCTTTGGATTTCTCTGCCAGAGCTTCCTTTGCTAGATTCTCATTCTCAATTTATCCATTTAAATGCTAGAATATTTTTAGATTCAGACCTCAGTTCTCTGACCTCTACCCAGGACAAATTACCATCTCTTTGAAGATGATTCTCAAATCTGTATCCTCAGATACAAATTTGTCTTCAACACTGAACACATTATCTGCATGATCTCAATTACTTAACTACCAAACACAGTTAATTTGTTTTGTATGGAAACTTTAGTATATACTCAAGCAATAATTTTGTCTTACCTCTGTAAACCCATCTTTAAGAGGAGTAATAGGTGTACTAGTCATTTGTCCTGGAAGAGAAATTTTCTTTCCTTCTTCAAATGGGCGTGTAGGTATTCGATGCAAATAGCCATATCCAATGCCACATCCTATGCTATAAAAATATTTTTCTTAGTTACTATTATCTATTACAGTTTGCATTTTTCCACTGTTAAGTAGTGCTATCATATCAGAGATCTATCTTTTCTATCTATCTCGATTCTCTTTTATTTCCCTCAAACACTGATAACCAACTGACACTTATTTGATGGGGACGGGAAAAGGAAAATTGAAAGAATCTGTTCTTTGTATTTCAATGTATTTGAATTTTGTAAATAAACTAGTAGAAAATTTAAAAAAATAATGTACATGAATAAAATACAATGTAAACAAATTGTTGAAAAAATAGACAAAAAGTAAAAAACAAAACAAAGCAGTCCCTTTAAAATAAAGTTTTTAATACTCTTAGAAGAAAGACTTCTATTTACCCTATAAAACTAAATCAGAGTAGATGACAGTAACTGATATTACCTACCAAGACCAGATTCTTCAATAATGTTTCCAGCACAGTTTTCTCAAAGTACAAGTTAGAATTCTGGCAGTAAAATACACTCAACTGAAAAATCTCACATAATATAGGTAATGGTATTTTAGCTAAACAGAGGCTTTATCTCCTTACATCAACAACGTCATCCTTTTACCAGGAAGGGCTTGAACTCTATAACTCGTTTTTAAAAGTTTCAGAATTCCTCATATGAAAACAGATTGCAGGCAGTTAGATCAGTGAAGAAAAGTGCAGCATATAGACCATGTTCCCTTAGAAGTGTGCTTTTTAAAATATGAATTGTTCTAATCCACCAGATGCTCTGCTGGAGAAGGAGGGGCAATCTCCTCCTGTCCCAGTCAGATCCAATTTGACAGTACACACACAAAAAAAGAATACAATAAAATTTTTTTTTAAAAAGCATAAAAAAATATAAATTGTAAGACTGAATATTTTAAATCTGCTCTTTCCTTTTCTCAAGATCTCACAATAAACTGTTTAACTTTTTTCTCGCAATGAAAACAATCAGTATTTACAATACCTCTGTCTACTGAATTTAAGTCATAATTTAGTCTAAAAAAGTATCTTACCTGCCTTCTCCACCCCACGCAGAATTTGGTGTAATGATCACTTCTCTACAGTTATCAGTGTCTGTGTTGTACACATAAAGTTTCAATGGTTTTGCTTCATGTGTGTCAATAAGGCTGAAGAGATCTTCTGACTTTAAAGGCATCACAGGAGAAAAGTGTTATGAGTTTTGTGTACTACAGAGCAAGGAATCTACCATCAGAATTACCTGAGAAACAACAATAACAAAAACCCCAAAGAAAAACCAAACCAAATGAAGAGATTCTGGGTCTTGCCTCAGACATAAAAATAATTTTTTAAACTGGTAACACGAACTAATTGGCTACCTACCATGTACAAAACCTTGCCCTTAACTCTACAACACCTAATTTTTAAATAAAATTATTGTGCATCCAAGTTCTATATATTCTACTTTTATCCTTCATTAATACCTGGTTTTTGGGGCATCTTGTTTCCCCCCCTTTAGATTTCTAATAAGTTTTTTTATTTAGCAGTGTGTATTTCCACTAGCTATTAGATGAAAAAATGGATGTAAGTAATATAAAAATAGTTCTAGTGGTGCAATGTTTACATGTTCAGTTGCTAACATAAAGGCCAATGGTTCAAACCACTCAGCTGCTCTGCAGGATGAAGACATGGAGATCTGATTTTGTAAAGATTACAACTGTGGGCCAGTTCTACTCTGTCATGCAGGCTGCTATGAGTTGAAAGCAAATAATTACAACAACCTGGTCAAGCTAATTTTGTTACCTTAAAAAGAAAAAAAATAAGTCTAAATTAAAGACTAAAATTGGGATATGATTTAAAGTTACGGAAGAGATTTCTATAATCATACATGAAATCAGTACAACTACTACACTGATGTGTGCTTTTCCTCACCTATATACCTAGTAAGACATCTCCCAGATGTTTCATTTAACACCTTGATGCATAAATTATCGTGATTAGCAAAGATCTAAATTTCCACTTTAAACGTCAAGTACACAGATAGACTTCTGAATAGAAACATTAATTAGAAAATGTTATATAAGCTTTATTATGAATAAATACACTAAATTACCTCATTTATGACTGTATCTGCTCCAATGATATAATCACTATAAGGTCTAAGTCCTGCTATAGCTGCAGGAGAATTGGATTCAACTTCCTAGGATGACAAACATACAGATTTAAAAATTAATACATAAACTAACTTCTCAAATTCATACTCAAACTCATAAATGCTGTTGTCGTGTGCAGTGAAGTTGGAACTGACCCATAGCTGACTCTCGGGTAGGTTTTCAGAGGCAGGTTACTCACACAGGAGACTACTACTACTGCCCATCCTTTCTGGCATGACACCTGGTAGATTTGAACTGCATGCCTTTGGTATTGCAGCACAGCTTTACTAGAGCTCCCTCATTAACTCATTTTCCAAATTTAGTAGTTCACCATTCCTAATTAGGATTTTAAAAAAAACACCTAAATCCTTGTCTTTTTACAGATGGGAAAAAAATTTATATATATATATGGCTTGTGGTTTGATTCCACCAGCTGCTTCATGGGAGAAGGCAAAGTAATCTCCTCTAGTGTGATTTATAGCTTCTAAAAACCCACTGGAGGTTCACCTATGAGCTGATTCTAACTCAACAGAACACAACAATAACAACAAAATTCCGAAGCACAAAAAGCAGAGAACATTTAACTATTTACAGATAGTGACTTTAATAGATAAATTCAGATAATATTTTTCTAACAGATAAATGTTTGCAGTGTAACTCTTTTTAATCTCTATTTCATAAGCAATGCATGCTTATTTTTTAAAAACTATTAATAGCCAAATAATGATTATATTAATAAAAAAACTATAATCTTAACAAATCTAAGACAAACACTGTTAAAAGATGTTTCTACATTTGTTCTTAAACTAGAATAGCTCTAGGTGACACTCACCAACACATGCCAAACATTTTCATTTGCCCCATCAAAGCTGCAGAAACGAATGCTCACTCCCAACAAGCCCTGACCACCCCACATGTTACTAGGTGTGACTGAGGTCTCTCTCAGCTCCAGTGTTTTGCTGCTGTAGATAAGCATTTTTACAGGTTTTTCAACATTTGCTTTCAGTAGATCCTTAAGTGTATCATTGTCTTTATTCTGTGAACAAAGAGAAATTAATTTTCCTTAAAAGATGTTAATCAATCTTAGCCTATGAACTCTGTGGCTCTATAACTGTATTAATAGTCAATATAAATAAAACATACAACAGAAAAGAAGCAAAACATAACTGCTTTTGAGCTGGCAAAGGAAAGGGGGAAAAAAGCTTCAGTAACATCTAAGTAGTCCACAAAGTAAATGTATATCAAGAAATTAAGAATAATTCTGATGTTAGCAATAACGTCAAACTGATTTTTAAAAATTAGTATACTATGGATTATCAAATTTGTAGCCCAACATTATTAGGCATGAACTGGGGCTTAAAAACAAAACATCTGCAATGTATATGAACTTTGTAAGTAAACCAGTATAAAATTAAAATTTTATTTAAAAAAAAATTTAAAAAAACATATAAAATATTCCATAAAAAGTACCATTATTAGCAAATCTGAATTACTTTCCGTTCAATTTTCAAATATAAAACATGTGTTGGGTTTGAAGTTTCATTTTGGATTCTACTTTATTATTCTATTCTTTATTATGATGTTAGCAACTGAAAGGAAAAGAACTGAACTAGTATGTTAAATATGTCACTACATAAATGAGTAAAAGTCATTATGATTATGTGGGAAACATTATAAATAAAAACAAACATTAAAATTGCTTTCTAAAAAATAACCCACCAGCTATGTCATAATAATTTTCTTGGTTGAGGTAATTCCCTTCTTATTACTTCAATATAGGTGAACTAAAGCAATTTTTAAAAAAATTTAATTTTAATGAAAGTTTACAGAGACTTAGGGTTTCCAGTCATACATTGTTGCACTTTTCTCCCTACCCACCCCTCCCTCTAAATTCACTCTTCTCCTTGAAAAGAAAGAAAAGCTCTTTCATTGTTATGCAATCCCTCCCCTCTAAAAGCAATTTTTAAAAAGTAATTGTAATTCTCCATTTTTGGAGCACGCATCTGATTTTCTTTTTCACTGCCACTGTGTCAGAACTGACACACAAGCTGATCTTCTGTTAGGTTTCTGAGGCTGTAAACTACGGAGGAGGAGACTGCCTATCTTTCTCTCAGGGAGCTGCTGGGTTAGGTATTTGCTGATAGACTATGTGATCAAAACAAAATTATTTATTATGAGAACTAAATTTCAAGAAGGGAAAAAAGCAAACTAGCTATTACAAATGAGTCTTTACTAAAGCAATTTACCAAAAACCTACTAAATGCAGATGTATTTTAAAAAAGTAAACATTTTAATCTTCCTCGTCAACATTTTAATCTTAATGATTTCCTCCTGCTTATAAAAAAAATAAGCATTTAATAAAGACAAAAGTCTTCCAAGATTTTTTCTATTCTTCTAAGATATTTACTAGAATCTGAGATACAGAATTTCAGAGTTTGCAGGCTAGCATGTTTAATAACATACTTATTTTTACAAGAGAATGTACTCCTTATGTTTTGTAACTTATATTCTCACTGGGTAAATTCCCTTGAATGCTTAAAAAACATGTTTTAAAAATCCCATTTTTTAAAAAATTAGTATCAAGGCTAGATAAAGCAAACACATTGTACTTCCAAAAGACTAAAAAATACTATAGGCAAAAGTATAAAAGGATGAACTTACTAATCTTGACCCATTAATAGAAACAATAAAATCAAAGAATGGTTCCAGTCCAGCTCTATGTCCTGGTGAATTTTCTTGCACCTGTAAAAACAAAAATTCCAAAAATAAGAACTAAGCAGTTGAACTAAAAATTTTTAAGTTACACTTGAATATGAACTAGAGAATGTGCATTTATAATAAAATACAGGTACAGACTGTTTTCTCTCTTCATGTCTCTCCCTGAAAGTGACTGTTTTGTTTTCTTTTTTTTTATTAAATTTTATTAGTTTTAATGAACATTTACAGAGATTTTTGGGTTTTCA